GGGTAACTGGCTTGCAGTGATGGTTTCTCAGAAATATCTGGAGAAACATCTTTAAGTCCCAATATAGTAGGCAAAAGCAACAGAGTAATACTTATCCAAAAATGATTATATGATATCTTAAAGGTGAAGAAGTGTCCTGGACTTATTAAATGAATCCCAGATTAGCATTTACGATAATGCATTATGGATTTGACTGGGTCTATTTTTGTAGTTTTTTAGTTGGGGGGTAGCCGAATGAGTAACATTTAAACCTCAATGATTCGTTTTCAAAAAAAAAATTTTTTTAGTTCAAAATGGATATGTAGGCGGTGAGTGGTTCCCGTTCTTGTAATCCCAGCACTTTGGGAGGCCGAGGCAGGCAGATCACCTGAGGTCAGGAGTTCGAGTCCAGCCTGGCCAACATGGCAAACCCTGTCTCTACTAAAAATACAAAAATTAGCCAGGGGTGGTGGCATGCGCCTGTAGCCCCAGCTACTCAGAAAGCTGAGGCAGGAGAATCACTTGAACCCAGGAGGCAGAGGTTGCAGTGGCCAAGATTGTGCCACTGCACTCCAGCCTGGGAGACCGAGCAAGACTTTGTCTCAAAAAGGAAAAAAAAAGTTGCCAGGCATGGCGGTGGGTGCCTCTAGTCCCAGCTACTTGGGAGGCTGAGGCAGGAGGATTGCTTGAGCCCACAAGTCCAACCTAGGCAACACAAAGAAATCTGCATCTCTATTAAATAAAAAATTTAAAAAGAGGGTAAAATCACAGCCTTTGGAGTCAGACTGACCAGCCTGGGTTCTAACTATGGTTCTGCCTCTTCGAATTGACTATGTGACCATGAGCAAGTTACTTTGTTTTTGGAGCCTTTTTGTAGGAATAGAAAGAGCACCTGGCCTGATCGGACTCCTCTGATCTTTAGTAGACATGAGCCAGGCATGCTGGACACCCTGCAGTATTTGGGACAGTCCTGCAAAACAGATCATTGTTCCATGTCCTGCACAACTTTCTAATGTCCTACGAGTTATTTACACGAGTGGAAAACCTGTTTATAGTTATGAGCTGAAAACCCTAACTCAGTTATGTAAACACATTACATTATATACAGTTTTAGCATATACCGACTTTTCCAGGAATGTGGCTAAATGTTAATCAAAGGAAGAATTTTCCTTATATGAGTTCAGATCTTTACAAGGAGTCATTCACCATTCACAAAATCATGTCTCTGAAGTTAACATGCCTGTATTAGTCTGAATTTAAGAGTGGTCCAGGGCCAGGCTCACACCTGTAATCACAGCTGCTTGGGAGGCCAAAGTGGGAGGATCACTTGAGGCCAAGAGTTCAAGACCAGCCTGGCAACATAATGAGATTCCATCTGAAAAAAGAAAAAAAAAAAAAAAAAAGAAGGAAAGAAAGAAGAAAAGCAAACAAACAAAAAAGAGAACAGTCCCACTTCACAATGACCATTTCAGATGTCTTCTAGTGTGATCCTGACCAAGGTTGTGCACATGGAAATGTAGATTTCTTTTTTTTTTTTTTCTTGAGATGGAGTCTTGTTCTGTCACTCAGGCTGGAGTGCAGAGGTGTGATCTCCACTTGCTGCAGCCCTCCCGAGTTCAAGTGATTCTCCTGCCTCAGACTCCCTAGTGGCTGGGATTACAGGTGCACAGCATCACCACACATGGCTAATTTTTGTATTTTTAGTAGAGACGGTGTTTCACCAGGCTGGTCTGGAACTCTCCACCTCAAGTGATCCACCTGCCTCAACTTCCCAAAATGCTGGGATTACAGGCGTGAGCCACTGCGACCGGCCAAGATTTCACTATTATATTATTATTATTATTATTATTTATGATTACTATTTTAGTAGAGAGAGAGTTTTGCCATGTTGTCCAGGCAGGTTTCCAACTGCTGGACTCAAGCGACAAACTGCCTTGGTCTCCCAAAGTGCTGGGATTACAGGCACGCCCGGCCTATGTCTTTTATTTATTTATTTTTTTTTAAGAAGAGTCTCGCTTCTGTCGGCCCAGACTGGAGGTGCAGGTGGCTGGATCTGGCTCACGGCAAGCTCCGCCCTCCCGGGTTCACGCCATCTCCTGGCCCTCAGCCTCCCCCAGTAGATGCGACAGGGCCGTCCCCCACCAGCCTGGGCTAATTTTTGTATTTTAGTAGAGGACGGGGTTTCACCGTTTAGCCGGGATAGGTCGCGATCTCTTGACGCCTGATTCGCCCGCCTCGCCCAAAGTGATGGTTACAGGGCGGGAGCCAGCGCGCCCGAGTGGCCTACGTCTTTTTTGGAGCCACCCCTTCTTCCACCTTAAGCGTCCAGACCCACATGATTATTCTCCGAAACGGAGCAGGGGAATTGAGGGTCTGGTTCCTGAGGGTGCTGGCGGAGCAACTGCAGTCGGCGGTCTACGGCGGTCATGACTATCGACACACGGTGGCGCTGTTGAGGCTCGGTCCTGCGCATTCCAAGAGCCCTGGAAGAAGTTGCAGGGTTCTCACCTCCCACGCAGCCGCTGCACTCCGAGGCACAACCAGTGAGTCAGGGAGGCAGGGCCAGAAAGGCGTCTGGCATCACTGGATAAAAATCAGCCTTAATTTACATCCCCTACGTGCGGCTAAATGTTAAAATGGAGAGATCTGGGCCGTAGGCTTCACACCACCTACATAGCATCAACGCCTGGATGTCAAACTTAGCCAGAGCTGCGTATTGTTTTCATCCCCACCCGTCCTCAGGAATCTCCCATCCCAGCATATGGCATCACTATTCTCCCAGCTCTTCAGTCCAGAGAACTGGAAGTGTCGTTGATTCTTCCCTTGCCTTCATGCCGCACGTCTAGCCCATCTCCAAGTGCCGTGGAATCTGTCCACTTCTCCCCATTCCCGCAGCCGCTCCTCATGACCAAGCCCTCACCATTGCTTGCCTGACTGAATCCACTCCTGCCTCCAATAAGCTCCTCTGCAGGCCACAGCTGGAGGGACCTCCTTAAACAGAAACCATCCGGGCACGGTGGCTCACGCCTGTAATCCCAGCACTTTGGGAGGTCGAGGCAGGCAGATCACCTGAGGTCAGGAGTTCGAG